ACCCACCTCATGATGACTCAGAAAAATTTCAACAAAGAAGAAGTAAAAAGAGCGAGAGGTGGAAAATGAATGAAAGGAAATAATGTTTTCTCAACACAACAGAGCGGATGAACAAGCGAATTTACAGTGATTCCACCACGGAGTTGGGAAGGTAGCCACAAAACCCAGTCACCATCGAAGGAGCTTTCAATACTTGAATGCCGCTGAAAGGGAAAGCTTTGTTGAGTGATGTGTTTCAACTTCAGGGCAGGCCCCTTTCCCAAGACTAGTTTAACAATGCAACTCTGACTTGATGAGGCTGGCAATCAAGAAAACTTACAAACAGAGCAGTGGTTCTCAACCTTCCTAACACTGAGATCCTCTCATACAGTTCCTCATGTTGTGGTGTCCCCCCAACCATAAAATTACTTGCGCTGCTATTTCATAACTGTGATTTTGGTACAGTTATGAGTCATAATGTAAGTATCTGTGTTTTCTAATGGTCTTAGGTGACCGGTGCCCCGCAGGTAGAGAAGAGTTGTTACAGAGAAGTTGGGGGTAGAGAGGACAGATATAGGAGGAGTTGGGTGAGCGAATTTGATCAAAACATATTACATGAAATCCATCAGGCAATTGATTGAAGTATTATTTAAGACACATTGTAAATATTTTTTAAAAACACAATATATATATTTTATCTTTGCAGAAACCACTAGGAAAATGAACGTGTAAAACAGAAATGTTAAAATATATTCCATGTTGTATTTATAAGCATACCAAGAATACATAGTTGATCCTGTAAATCATTGTCTGAAATGACAGAATTATGTGTGCAGCTTAATTGTTACAGCACATGGGGGAGTCATGGTTCAGTCCCTATCACTGTCTACCCAACTAGCTCTGGTTCTACACAACTGAAATCCCAGAACTTGGAAGGTGGAACAAGAGGACTGGAAGTTCAAAAATGATTTTCAGATGTCTGTCTGTCTGTCTATCTATCTATACACACACACACACACACACACACACAGAGAGAGAGAGAGAGAGAGAGAGAGAGAGAGAGAGAGAGAGAGAGAGAGAGAGAGAGAGAGAGAATTTGAGGCCAGCCTGGCTACATGAGACTCTGACTCATTTATTTATATATTACAGTAATTTTTCAGGTCTCAATAGTTAGTAGATAGTGCATGACTCTATGTGTGCTCAAAATCTTTTGGGTTCAGTTTGTGTTGTTTAATCGGCCTATTTTCCACATTTCAGCTCTACTATGGGCATTTTAAAACTACCAACAGACTTTGGCAGTGTGTTTGTTAACGATTTTTCAAGGACAGATGCTCTTTGGAAGTCCTAAATTCTACACAGTGTTTTAATATTTGGTCAGTGATTTTTACAAATAATTCATTTTATATCCTCCATGATAATTTGGAGCAGGGAATTTTGTCTCTAGTGGATACATATGGAATCTTAACTCAGGAAATCCAATGGTTTGTCCAGAGTCCCACAGCTGACAAGGGCCAGTATCTGCACCTGGGTTTGTGCTCATGTCAACTGCAGTGTTAGTCAACCATTGACCAAAAGGGAGCTGCTCTGAAGTGGCCTAGTTATGATTGTGATTATTCTCTATTTTCCCGTATTTCTTCTCTATGTCACCTTTTTTTTCTTGAAGCAAATTAGTTTGTTTTATTCAGTCTTCCCATTTGACTGAAAATTTAGCATTATCTTAAACAGTAAACAGTTTAGAATCTATGTTTGTTTCTGCATGTTTGTAACTAGCCTAATATTATTCAAACTCTTGTCTCAAACATTGGAACCATGGCAAGTTATACGCCACCAATACTTATGGGTACCTTTTAACTTACTTATCATTCCAAAAATTTTCAGTGGAAGGTATTCAAAAGGTATTTTCTAGTCTCTGTCCATAGTATAGCCTTCTAGAACTCCTGAAGAGCAGACATGACAATGAAGAGGCCATAGTGTAGAAACATCACTGAGTAGAACTAGATATCTGGCTTTCTTTTGCATAAATATTTCCATTTCCCACTTCCCAGTCTTCACTTTTTTTTTCCTTCCAGAAACACAGAAGTTAAAATTTTCACATGCCATTGCTTCCAAAGGGACATAGGAACATATACAATAATCCCCTTCACACTGACAAGCTGATATCTTATCACATACTGACATATATTCATCAAATCCTGTGAAACCAAAGCCAACACTTCATATTCAAATACATCTAAGGGAAATGACTGTGAGTGAAGACCATGGTGTTCAAATAACTTGCCGCTCAAAGGCACTTTGTGAATCAGACATGACTGAACTACTTCCTTATACTCAGCATTTCACACCTTCAGAGTGTCCAATAAGGATTTGAGCAGAGTTTATCTGGGTGCCTGTGTAATGTCTGGGATCATGTTTGCTCTCAGGCTACATCTACTCTTTGCTTCTTGACTTATTCTATGAGCTGGGAATGTAAGCAAATACTGAATTTCCCCTTGGGAGAAAGACTACTATTATACTAATTTGTGTCAAGAAGATGGATGAACTCATTCTGTTGCTTAAAAGCAAATGTGTCCCTCAAGGCTGACTGACTACCCTGTGAAATATGTTGGTCACAATACCAGATTAAGCATGGCCTACTGTAGATACTAAGAAACCATTCATAAAGTCAACACACAAGTTCATCCCAGATATCCCTGCAGGCTATTTGCCCTCTAGACTCTATCAGAACTTCCACTTTCCTCGCTTTTTATGGGTTTTGTGCCATTCCAAAGAAATGGACATTACCACTTTCATGTTGTTTTTCCCTGAAGACACAGACTGAAGTACATATATCTTTGGTGGAAGATCTTATTGATAGTCACTTTCAGCCATTCTTAAAATTTATTTCTCATGCAGTTTCCCCAAACTTCTACCACATTTTCTTGTTGTTGTTGTTATTGTTTTGTTTTGAAGCTGCAAATGTTAAGATTTCTCTTGTATTTAAGCACTGTTTCATTGGAATTATCTGAGGCATATATTCCTTCATTGTACTTTAATACTTCAGTTCCCAAATGTGAAAGGAACTGTTAAATCCAAGTAACATTTAAGTTTCTATTTAGTACAAGTCTCTTTTCCTTCCATTTAGTAATGTATCTCTAGTTTACATCCATTACACTCTGCTTACATTGTGTCTATGGAAATAAGGGTGCCCACTAAACAACTGTACAGATTTATTCTAGGATCCCAGCCGTTCACTGCAAAAATCAATCAGATTCAAATGTAGACTGTGACTCTTTGAAAGAAACTGATTGCACTAGTTTTTGGTTACAATTGCATAAAAATGTAATTGGGTAATAAAACCTGGTCTTCCAGCACTCTGAAGCTCTCAAGTATGCAGCAAATAAAAACAAGTACCGCTCGTATAGTAGATATAAAACCCAACTACAAGGATGTAGTTGACATCTAAGGTTACCCTGGACACTACTAAGCTACTTGAGATGTTTGGTACAGAATGATGCCTACAAGTGTGGTATTGTAATTGTCAGACTCCTGTCTGTTCTAATTGAGAACTGACTATGCAAGCATCTTTTAGGCAATGTAAAGAATGCAGTGATTGGCAAGACAGCATCTTAAATCAAAGTTACAAGCAAAGTTTCTATTTTTCCTCCTTTGCTAGCTTTAATGTGGATTGAGTTCAATGTAAAGACAACAGCAAAGTTTCCTAATTAGTACACTCCTCTCTTCAGTCTCAATTCCTGTTTAGAGAATATTGCCCACTTTAAGTACACATATCATAAGCTTTTCATAGAGGCAAGGAAGGTACTGTTCTCAAGGACACAACGGATAATAGAGAACAGGTGGTGGGGGATGTCCTTCTGTATATATGTTTCTCTTATTGGTTGATGAATAAAACACTTACTGTTCAGTAGCCAGGCAGGAAGTATATATAGGCATAGCTACCAGATGAGGAGAATGCAGGGGAGAGGTGGTAGAGAGAGTCGCTAAGATGTGCCATGCTGCGAAAGGAGTAATATGTCAGATTACAGGAAAGCAACAACCTTAATGCATAGATTAATAGAAACAATTAAGAGAGAAATAAGAAGCCTTAGCCATTGGCCAGGCAGTTTAATATTAATATAGCACCTGTGTGTTTATTTGGGGCTAAATGGCTGCAGGACCAGGTGAGACAGAAACCTCCATCTTCAAACAGAGAGTGGGTAGAAACATTAGGTTTGTTACAAGAGGATAGAGAAGGAAAAAAATTACTTTCTTCTTGTTAGTTCCCTTCCTGACTTCCCCCTCCTATCAGATGTGAAAGGATTTTGCAGTGTCAGGCAATAGGAAAAATATTCAAAGTTGTTCATGTAGTAAGTAAGTTTATTTATGTATTTGCAATGCTAGAACGGAATGCAGGGATTCTCATAGTTCAAGCAAGTGGCTATCATTGAACTTAGAAATGCATCTGCCCGCTATGTTGATTGACGTTCTTCATGTTTTGCGAGTGGGAGGTGCAATGAAAGTTATCTCATGTGTGGCAAATAGATATAAAAGCAAAACATTCCTTAAGGGCTCAATTCTAATGGCCAGAAAATATTTAACACATTTGTTGTTTTATCCAATTTAATTGAACCTTCTTATCTTTTGAGATGTCGATGTTCTTGAGAAATTTCAGAACTATATTTAAGTATAAGGAGTTAGTGCATAGTGAGAATTTAGTTTATGTATTGGCACTTGTATAATCTTGAGCAAATATTCCTATCTTCCACTATAAATGATAACAATGACATGATTCACTTCTTACAGTTAGGGAGAGTGAATTAATGAAGGAAGAATGAGTCCACAAGTAAACTATCAGCTACAGTGCATGCCTACTGACTTAATAATTATAAAGAACACTTAGAAGCTTTGTTCAGAGTTGCTTTTCAAGGTCTGCATTTCCTCCTTCTCTGCTGAAAATATCAATTTCACATGAGTCATCCCTTCAAAGAGAACGTGGGCAGAAAGCATCTTTACCCGTGTTATACTTGGTTCCAAGGCACATCAGCTGCTCAGAGGCAGTTTCCTGTGTGGACACGAAGGCTATGCTTCCTTCCTTAAGTGGGAAGGATTCTATAGGATCAATACCTAAAAAAAGCTTCCCAATGTACCTTCTAAGCCCTTAGCTCCAGGTATGTAGCAGGTCAGCTCCTCTCCGACCCCTTTCCAATCTGTATTCCTTTGGATTATCTCTCCTGATTTCTTCCCAATAAATCTACATGTGACATCTTGCTTCATACTTTTCCTAAGGAAAATATTTTCAGACACTCTTCATCCAGGTAAGAGTGGCGTGCTTGTGTGTGTGTGTGTGTGTGTGTGTGTTGTTGTTGTTGTTTACTTTGTACTCATTTTATTTTTTTCCTTTCTTTTAAATTTAAATTAGAAACAAGCTTGTTTCACATGTCAATCCCAGCTCCCTCTCCCTCCCCTCCTCCCCTGCCCTGCTCTAAACCCCCCACCTCCCCCACCTAATCCCTACTTACCTTCCCAGGGAGGATGAGGCCCTCCATGGGGGATCTCCAGAGTGTCTTTGTGTGCATTGTATAGAGAGACACAGAGAGGCTGCTGACCGCAAAGTATAGAAGATTATTTATTGTATCCATTGTTTCATTTATAGACTATGGAATTTTTTCTAATGCATTGATGTTTATTTGCTTTTAGAATTGAGAGAGATGTAACTTATAAATCATTTCATTGATATTATTCTGCTTCTTTTTACTTGAATGGTGAGGACAATTATGCCCCTAGGATCTCTAGAGAACAAATGATGCAATAAAAATAACCAAAGTCTTATCAGGTACCAAACAAACATGAGACATATTTCCCATCATTACTAAATCAGAGGGGATTGGGGTACCAAATGAGAGTTTGAATTTTTAATTGGAATCTGTTAAGAAATAATAAAATTCTGTTTCTAGGTTTGTAATTTCATGGACATCTGAGTAAAGGATTTAAAATCATTAAATCTTTTTGTCTTCTATTGCTTACTGTGGGTTATGGTACTGAATGGATCACCTATTCTGATGAACTTCAACTATCTGCAATTTACTTGAGAAATAGATTGAATGATGGAAACATGAGCAAACCATTAACTGACAAAACACTTTTAAAGAAACTTCTTAAATAAAGGAATAAAATGCACTATTTCACAGTTACTGTTTGTAAGAAAGCAGTCTAAAATGAGAAATTAATATAAACACTTCAATAATAGAAGATAAATCAAAATGTATTAACTGTTCTTACTATTCATATGACATCAGAGAACACATTTCTATAAATTTCAAAGACTAAGATTGCCTAAGCATTGTGCAGAATTCAGATATGCAAAAATCAACTAAGTAATAATAAAACATTTGCACATGTGGATGCATTTCTGGCTTCATGCTAGTGGATAGCTATGAATACAACACACCATAACTTGTGGTCAACTGTTTTTCAACCCCAGCTACAAACTATAGAATTTGTGTACCCTGGATAAATTGCCCACTTTCTCTCTTTACCTCGGAACTCCCTTTGTGAAAGGCATGATGACAGCTCTACAGATTCAAGAGGATTAGACAGGGTTAATCAGGTAAGGCACATGCAGGAGGAACTCAATAGATGGGCATTCTTACTATCTGCATCCTAATAATATCTAAAGTTGATAAAGTTTCAGCACTGTGGATGAGTCATGCAATATTCTTTCTGTAGATGTTAGAACAATGTTGTAAGATCAAGAATCAACAGGACAAAGGTGATGATCAGGTTGTTCTGTGGAGTCTGCCAGAGTTAAAAACCAAAGCCCATAACAACAAGCCAAAGTATGCAATGAGTGACAGGATGGGGTCATAGCACATATTTTCAAGGCTGCTCTCTCATCAGAATGTATATTCAGTGACATTTTTCATGTATTCTTGTGACTTCTGTTTATGAGTTAAGCTTACCACTTAGCATTTTGTACAATAGCAAATCTTTCTAAAGCAGGAACAGATATCTCTCTGATGAATGGTAGTTATCTTGTTTAAAGGAAATAAATAAATTATTCAAAGGAAATTGTAGGAAAAATTTGGGGAGATGCCAGTAGCAAATGTGTATTGCTCCCTAAATCCTTCAGCAAATTAAGTCGTTTCTAAATAAAGCAGCCTAGGCACTATCTTGCTTTGTTTTAAATGACTCAGACACAAGTCACAAACAAAATAAATTATACCAGCATTGGAATACACTAACAGAGAAATAAAAAAGATGGTAAAAACATTCACATGGCATGTCTCTATCAGTTAGACTGTTTGTCTTTTTGAAGTCCATTAGAGAGACTATCAGACTGGTCCATTGAATTATTAGGTTTACGTGTCTTCTCATACTAACAATGACATGTTAGGATGTACTCTGATGTCACTTTTGATTCATAAAGATTGTGAGATGGTGTATCAATTATCCCTTCACCTCAGTTAGACTGTTATAGAGATCCACTATTATCTAGGTTTTGTGTTTCTAAACCCCAATGCTATGATTTAACTGATGCCCATGAAAATCTACCTTAACAAAATGATTACTAAACACACACTCTGAGAGAAAAGATTGCTCAGTAATAGAAAAATGGAAGTGTGCTTTCAGAAATAACATAAAAGTATTTAAAAGAGAAATCAGAGCAAATAGGGCTCCTCTTGGGAAAAGCAGATATAAATAAAGCATAGTTTAGAAGAATTCAGTGGAAATTCTGAAAAGTTCATCAATCATTTTGTGTTTGTTTTATGTTTTATTCTTTTAACAATACTGTGCTAAGAGGGGCCAATGATTTTCTTTCCACATCCATCAGCAGTTGGATGCAAGAGTCTTGTAATGGGAACCATAACCACAGATAAGGTAATTATGTCAAAATTAGAGGCTACTTGTTTGGAAATTGGCAACTGTTGAACACTAGATATGAGCCCTTAAAAGCTATAGTAGGACACTTTTATTCTCAGAGGCAGATCTAGAACATGGATCACACTCTCAATAATGTTTCATAATTTCCTTTCTAGAGTTAGTTCTTATTTTCTATTCAGACAGGGTCTCTGTTGTCTAGTCTGACCTCGAATATCTCAGTTTAATTCATTTCCCCTGCCTCAGCATCATTAGTAGCCATGACTATAGGCCTGCACTACTCTACCCAAATAAAACTTTATGTGTAATTACAAGTGTTTTTGAACCTACACTTCAATACTTGGGTCATCTGTCGGTGCTTCAGATATAAATAACTTGCCTTCTTCTGTTATGTTTTCATACAACCAGAGAGTACATCCCTAGCCTACATGTCCTCAGATCCTGAAATTTGAAATTGAAAGCCAGACAAACATTCATGCTAGATGACAGTAGATATCCATCTTTCTATATCCCCGCCATCTAGTTCTAAGTATAATTGTCCACTAGTCCTAGAAAACTACTCAAGCGTCATTCAGAACACCACATTTCCTCATAGTTTCCTGCCTTACACATTCTGGCATTCTGCCTGAGCTTGTCCCTTCTTATTTCTATTTCAATATCACTTATACCTTAAGATTGAGTTCACATATAGAAATACACTGAGCCACTGCAGTCATCAAAGCCTTTCTTCCCGCATCCCTGGCTCTGTGACACCATCATTCCTGATTTTAGATTGAATGATAATTACTGATCTGTTTGCTTTACCACTTCCTAAGAATATTTGTCCTGTAAGTGGACGACTGACTTTGTCCCTCCCCCAAGCATATCGCAAATCTGACCCCAGCCAAGCTGTGAACACACAAAGGTATATGTAGCAAAGATTGCTTCTGCAATCCATCACAGATGTACGCACACTATAAGGACAAAGAGGAAGAGACACGCTCTCTTTGAACAGCTCCTTTTTATTACATGTGAATGTTTGTTGCCTATTGTGGGTAGATAATAGGACGGATAAAAAATGACAATACATGAGGATTTCCTGGACACTGTGGTTTCTAAAATTCAATATCATAATAAATATGTATTTTAGTAGTTTTACAGGAAATCATTTATAGCTTTGTTTCTCCTCCAAATGAAAACTCTGCAACAAGTCTAGAATTATACTGCTACCACATATGGGACACTCAAAACTGGAGGAGGTAGTGCCCTATTTATTATTGGTATTCATTTATTTGCATGCATATACCTATATAAGCACTGGTTTGATGATAGTTCATACTAATCTTGAGAATAATCATAACTAGGATAACTAGAAACCACTTCATTTTTTAAAAAACAAATGTGGAATCTACTCCATCCTGCAGACTGCCCCTGCTGTTGGAAATACATCAGTGAACCAGATCTCTCTGTGTGCCTAGAAATTTAATGGAGGATTAATGCAATCTATGAATTGACAATTATGTGTTTGTTTAGTGACTTTTTTTTTAATGGAACAGAAAGTGAACCATGCCAGGAGGACTGAGAATGACCAGCTGGAGAGCAATCGCATTAGACAAAGACAGGTGCCAGAAGTTTGTTCCCTTTTTGCATCACAGAAAAGAGGCAGTTACCTTAAAGAACCATTGTTTCAGTAAAGATCTTTGACTCACAAATGCTGTAGAAAGGTTTTAATACAGTGGTTTCCCAGCGTAGTTATAGAAGGAAAGCAGAAACTAACAACAAAAAGAGAACATTCTTAGGCCAAAACTCCCAAACATATCAAAAGCAATGTAACTTCTGCAGTGCAGTATTTACGTGATGACGCCTGCCTTGTTTTGCTGTTCTGGAGAAAGAGGAGATCAGGGTCTTTGGTGGCCGTCATCAGTTGGTGTAGAGAGCCTATGTACAGAAGGAGTTTTAACACAAAGTCAGTCTATGGAAAGTGCGGACATCTACCCCAGTATAATAAATGCCCACACTCTTCTCCAGGTTTCTGTGAGGCAGCAGTTAAAGGAAGAGAAAAAAATAAAACAAATGAATTTTTTTAGATTAGCAGCAGATTTTAATTTCTGTTTTTCTCATTACTTTTGCCAGGAAACAAAAATAAACAAATTCTTTGCACCTGTTCTAGGAGACCCGTATTTAAAGACTTTGTTCTTTTATTTAATAACACATATATGTGTGCTAGGCAATACAACAAATGTTCAGATATTGCATAGCTTTATGAAAGCTAACAGAGAGCATTAAACATCATCTAAACCTGTCTGAAACTACTTTGCATTTATATAGCACTCAATGTCTTTGAAAAGCATATTGTCAATATAACTGAAGGAAGCACCATAACAAACCTTCTCATTTTGTGAAAGAATAAAGAAAATGTCACATAAAGGAGCTGGGATCATTGAATTCTAGATAGAGA